AAATACTCGCTCGCTCCCCCAGGGCGCCCCCCGCCACTGAGACGGCGCACATATATATATCAATATCGCGCGCCCCGCGCCCCCCCCCCGCGCCCCCCCCCCCCCCCACACGTCTGTCCCCCCCCAAATGCCCCCCACACACACACACCTGCGTGACCATCTGGTAGTCTGGGTCTCCCACCAGAGCGATGCCCTCCAGGGTGGCCACCGACCGCGCCAGCAGCGACATGTAGGGCGGCACGGAGAAGGGGATTTCCAGGGTGGCCGCCTGCGGGGGGCGGGGGACAGGGGAAAGGGGGCAGGCGGACTGAGGTGGCTGGTTGGCAGTGCTGGCGCGCATATGCGTTGTGTGTGTGTGTGGCGCCCATTCGTCGGCACAGACACGTGCGGGAGGAGGCTGGCGCGCGGCAGGGCCACGCGGCGGTCGCCATTGCCATCCATACATGCGCTGCCTCACTGCTGCACGGCGCCCTCCACCCCCCACCCACGCAGCCTCCTCCCAACCCCACCCACCACCCGCCACCACCCCACCACCCATCGCCACCGCACCACCCGCAGCGGCCACACCTGCAGCGGCCACACCCGGCACCCTGCCCTCCCCCCCACCCCCACACACACCAGCAAGCCTCCCTCCCCCACCTCCGCCTCACCAGCAGGTCTGTGGACAGGGCTTGGAAGTTTGACTTGAAGGCCTTGGCGCCGCCGCCGCGCAGGTAGGGGCCCAGGATGCGATCCATCACCGGGATCACCAGGCCTGGAGGCAGGGGGCGGGCGCAGGGCGGGCGCCACGTCACTCTGTGTGGGGTGGTGTGGGGTGGTGTGGGACGGGCGTGGTGGGGTGAGGATGCTCTGCTGAAGCGTGGGCCCCAGTCTGGGGTCCGGGCGAGCTGGGGTTTCTTGCGGAGGCGCGGGAACGCAGGGAATTGCGCGAAGAACACACACACACACACACACACACACACACAGGCTCAGGCCACACACCCGCCCTCCCCCGCAGGCAACTCGCGCCCCCCGCCTGCCGCCCGCCGCCACCCGCCCAGAAAGGCCTCACCCCTGTCGCAGTCTGCCGGCAGGAAGCCGAGCGCCACAAAGTCGTCGATGAGGGCGGG